TAATTCATAGAAAAGAAACCACAACTGGGTATTGTCTTTGTGGACCTGGAGAAGGTGTACAATTGTGTGCAACAAGAACTAGTTGGTGGAGTTTTCAGTGGAGAGGTGAGCAAGAATGATGTGTCAGTCTTTTCCAGGATACGCATGCTGCAGTGACTACCACAGCCAAAACTAAATGAAGCTACAGTAGAGAACTTTTAGTAAAAGCTAGCCTACATCAGGGCTCAGTGTCAAGCCTCATTTTGTTTGCAATTGTCCTGGATACAAGTGAGAATATACAAAGGGAGCTGCCTTGGAACATGCTGTTTGCTGATGATTTAGTGATGTGTGAAAGATTGTGAGATCCTGCAAGCTAACTTTAAACAGTGGCAACATAGTTTTGAGCAGGCTGGGCTTAGGGTGACTGTTGGTAAGACCAAGACTCTGATAACTGAGGAAGGAGAACTCCCCATTAAAGGATATAGCAGGGAGAGAGCCAAGAGTGAAAGAATTTAAATTTTAAAGGCCAGTGGTTGCTGACAATAGTGCCTTCCTGACTGATGCCTGGCATCATACCAGAGCTGTATGAAGTAAATGGCCAGTGCGGATTGAAGTTCTCTGTGAATAAAAGATAATGATAAAGTTAAAAGGTAGCATGTATAAAACTGAAATTTGACTCCTCTTACTGTACGGAATGGAGACTTGGCCAGTCACAAGAAAGGGAATCTGTGTGCTCTTCACTAAAGAAATGAAGACATTAAGATGGTCTTGTGTTTGGACATGCCCTGATATGAAACAAGGTTTAAGCAACCTAAAAATAGCCTCTCCAATCCTGAGTCTATCATTCGCCAGGAAAGAACCCAGCAGCTCCTCAGCCCACTTGCCTTGACAAAAGTTTCTGTTAAACCGAGTGAAGAGTCTTTCAAGCCCTGTATAAAGTTAGGAAGGAGTTGTGTTTGAAAGGTTCCAGCCTGAGTGTCTTTGTGTTGTGTCCTCCACCCCCAAATACAGTTCTGTTAAACTTAATCAGAGCATTCTGGATCTTCATTATTGCTGCAATGTTTCATCTTCTTCGTACCTGATGTTCTTAAGACTGGGTTTTTTCAACTTTTTCAATATTATTTATTTCTATACTGTAGAGCCTAGGGGCCATAGTCATAGACCAGGTACTAGGTACTTTACAAATACAGAACAAAAAGACAGCCCCTGCCTCAAGGGACTTATAACCTGACACGAAACGACAGATGGATATAGACAGACAAGGGCGTACAAGTAAACATTGAAATAGTATTGGTCATGATAGGCACATGAGCAGCCTAACTATTGTAAAGTTTTTTGTAGGCATTGTGGCAAAGGAGGGATTTGAAGGTGGGTAATCAAGTACATAGCTTTGTATACATTTATGGGGAGTGCCTTCCAAGCCTATGGGTCAGCATGGGAGAAAGCAATGAAGGTGTGTTAGAAAATTGAACAAGTGGGCAGTGGAGGCAGGCATCACAGGTCAACAGGAGATGAGTGTCAACAGCAAAATAGTGAATGAAAAATGATAGGGTGGGGATTGGCTGAAGGGCCTTGGAAGTGAATATGAGCAGCTTGTTTGATGTATAAATGGGGATCAAGTAGAGGGATTCAAAGTGGGATAATGCGATCAAAGTGATGCCCTAGGAAAATGATATTTGCAATAGTATTTTGCCTGGATATGAGTGGGGCAAGATTGCATTTGTCAAGGCTAGAGAGAAGGGGTGGATAAAGTAAATAAGGAAGTGTTATTTACTCCTCCTTCTCATAACACAAGAACTAGGGGTCACCAAATGTGAAATTAATAGGCAACAGGTTTAAAATAAACAGAAGGAAGTATTTCTTCATGCACTGCTCAGTCAGTCTGTGGAACTCTTTGTCAAAGGATGTTGTGAAGGTCAAGGCTATAACAGGGTTCAAAAAAGAACTAGATAAATTCATGGAGGATAGGTTGATCAATGGCTATTAGCCAGGATGGGGAGAGATGGTGTCCCTAGCCTCTGTTTTCCAGAAGCTGGGAATGGATGACGGGATGGATGACTCGAGGAATATCTGTTCTGTTTATTCCCTCCGAAGCACCTGGCACGGGCCACTGTTGGAAGACGGGATACTGGGTTAGAATGACCTTTGGTCTGACCCAGTGTGGCCTTTCTTATGTTAAGGACGTTGCTGTAATGGTGGTGCAATATAAAGAGCTAATCTTGTTCCCTCCATTAAATTTCTGTTACAGTCTTTGATTGGAAGAATTCTTTTTTTTTTAATCCTATCGTTTGGTAGTGTAACATTTGGTTTTTGCAAAATGTACAGTTGGGAAAGGGACTCAGATAAAGTAAATAAACATGAGAATGTACTGCTAAAAGTACTGAGATTCTATAACATTGTTCTAGTTATCAGACTTATTACAGTGCCTTTTTATTAGTTTTCCTTAAATAGGAATGCCATTTATTTTAAATTGTACAAATTGTTTCACATATGGGGATTCCTAATATGTCATTGTATGCCAATAAAGAAGTAAATCCTTTCCATTCAGGGAGGTATTTAAGCATATGCCAACCTTAAAAGTTAAGCATATTTTTAAATATCTTGTGCTTTTGGAGCATTTGCAATTGAGACATAATATAAGAATGAAATTCTGGTTGAATGCATTTCACTTCTGTTTTTCCCTGAGCTAGCTTTTTCTTTCCTTAGTCTAAGATGTGGGTCACTGTACTGAAATAACATACTTTATTATCTTTATGTAGATGCATGGCTTCTATTTATGTCTACTTAGTTAAATTGAACAGTAATACAGGCCTGCACAATCCAGACTAAAACCATTTGTCACATACTGAAATCTGCTGACTGAAAGTGTTGTCTTTGAGTTTCTGCTTTAAGAAAAAGAAAAAAAATGTTTTGTACTCTGTGGGTCATTTTAACTGGGTAGGGTAACTTTTTTTTTTTTTTTTTTTTACTTCTAACAAATTAATTTAGGTTTAATGCAATGTAAACATTAGACTGGAAAGGACCTCCTAGGTCACTGAGTCCAGTCTCTTGCTGTTGCCGTCAACCCTGTCATATAATCCAATTGATAAATTTATTCAGATCAATCTTAAAACTATAGTTAGTTTGTTTGCCCCCACTATACCTGCTGGAAGGCTGTTCCAGAACCTCTCTCTTCTTATGATTAGAAATCTTCTAATTTTCAACCTAAATGTATTCATGGCCAATTTATGCCCATTTGTTCTTGTGCCAACATTGTCCTTTATTTTTAATAGGTCTTCTCCCTCCCTAATGTTTTACCCCTTGCCCCCCAGTGCATTTATAGAGAGCAATCTTATCCCCCCGCATCCTTCATTTTGCTAGGCTAAATAAGCCAAGATCTTTTCTCTAGTAGGATAGGCTCTTCAGTCCTCTGGTTGTCCTAATATCCCTTCTCTGCATCTGTTTCAGTTTGAATTCATCTTTCTGGTTACATGGGTAACCAGAATTATACACAGTATTCCAGATGAGGTCTTATCAGTGCCTTGTGCGATGATATTAATACTTCTCTAGCTCTACTGGAAATACCTCACCAGATACATCCTAGGATTATATTTGCCTTTTTACAGCCACATCACATTGGTGGCTCAGTCATCCTGTAATCAGCAAATGCACCTAGGTCTGTCTTTCTCCTCTGTCATTTCCAACTGATAAACTCCAGCTTATCGCAGGTATCAGGGGGTAGCTGTGTTAGTCTCTATCCACAAAAACAACTAGGAGTCCGGTGGCACCTTAAAGACTAACAGATTTATTTGAGCATAAGCTTTCGTGGCAGAAATTCTTATATGTCTAGGAATAAGGAATATAGTCCATACTTTCAAGGTGGAGGACTCTATTCTGGTAATTAGTGATTCTGAAAAAGATTTGGGGGTGGATAATCCCCTGAACATGAGCTTCCAGCATGCTTTGGCCAAAAGGGCTGATATGATCCTTGGGTGTATAAACAGTAATCTTGAGTAAGAGTAGAGATATTTTTATCTGTGTTTGGCACTGATGTGACTGCTACTGGAATACTGTGTCCAGTACTTGCTTCCACAGTTCAAGAAGTCCATTAACTGGAGAGAGTTCAGAGGACAGCCATGAAAACGATGGAAGGATTATAAAACATGATACTCAGTTTAGTTTAACAAAGACTTGATTAGTCTAAGTACCTACATGGGGAACAAGTGTTTGATAATGGGCTCTTCAGTCTAGCAGAGAAACGTATAACAATCTAATGGCTGGAAGGTGAAGCTAGACAAATTCAGACAGGAAATAAGGTATACATTTTTAAATGAAGGTAATTAATCATTAGAATAATTTACCAAGGGTCATGATGATTCTCCATCATTGGCAACTTTTAAATCAAGATTGGATGTTTTTCTAAAAGATCTGCTCTAGGAATTATTCCTTTTTTTTCCATTTTAACTAATCTCTGTATCAAATTCTTTACTAAAGTCCAGATTAGACCCATTGCATTTCCCTTGTCTAAAAAGCTCAGTTATTTTTTCAAAGAAAGTTATTGGGTTAGTCTGGCATGATCTATCTCTGATATACCCATCTGCATTTTACCAACTTTTCTGTTTTTTTTCCCATGTCTTTAGTTATTCTTGTCTTTAAAATTTATTTTGAAGAGTATTTAACTTTGATTTAAAGGTGTATACCTTTTTAGGTTCAAAAAGATTTAGTTGCCAATATAAGCATCCCAATTATAGCACTCTTCGCTCTTGGAATCTGCTATTTCTATGCTAGGACATCTGCATGACAAGCTATATCCATACCAGGATAGTTGTGTGGAAAGCCATGTAAATAAACCGTAACACGTTGTTAACGCAACCTTGAAGAATACCACCAATGTGTGGAATTAACTTGAAGCTAATGCTCACCTCTGCCATTATTCTTCATTAATTTAAGGTTTGAAATGTTTCAGTATGGTCATATATTTCCATCGTGAAACAATATGTAGTGGTCTGAAATAATGAATCTTGTGGAACTTTCTTGTTTAGGATTTGGCCCTTGTTGCTCCTGAAGCTCCTTCGGAACAAGCCAGAAGAGTTTTTCAAACCTATGACCCAGAAGGTAAGGCTGCATTGTTTAGCTTTGGGTTGAAATCTTTATATTGACTGGTTTTGAGTGTGAAGAATCTCTCTTGAAAAATATATGCAAAACACTGCACCTCCAATAGTACAGTCCCCTGCATTATAAGGCACATTGCTCATGATGAGGCTTAATACTGATCACAGGGTATGTGTACACTACTGCTGGAGGGTGCAAATTCCAACTTGGGGAGACATACATCAGCACTAGCTCTGATTTAGTGAGGTAGTGTGCTATAAATCATACATGGCTGCCCTGTGTATGATCTCATTCAAGACCACAGGTATGTATTTGGCACAGCTAGCCCCTCCCATTGCTTGCACTGCCATGACTATGCTGCTATTTTTAATGAGCTAGCACAATCAGAGCTAGTTACAGGTATGTCTCCTCAGGCTGGAATTCACATCTTCCAGCTCTTGTGTAGACAGACATATCCATAGGGAAATGTGCTACCTACTGATAAAACAGCAACACTTCATGATTTGTTGGTTAATCAACCTAATAATAAAATGGACACGCCCCTTGAAAACTACAGAGCATGAGGAAGTCAAATATAGTGATAGTAGGAAGTAGGGTTCTCATTGTAAGCTTTTCAACGCTGGGGACTTTCTTTGTATGTGACCCACCACTTTCCCTAATCTTACATTTTCAGAAATGTAAAACTTTCATACCTGATCCATCGTGATCTGATAAGTACTGAAAAATTCCTTAGTTTCATTTTAGAACTCAAAGCTGGCTGATATTCACATTTTATTTTAATTAGAAACAAGTTTAGAAACATTCTCTCACCATTTTAAGGTGGCATTTATATGTCTATTAGTAAAAAATCGTTTTAAGTTTAAAAGGTTCGCATTTACAAACGTTTTAGAAAAATGGCATTTTTAAGATGTGTAAGCCTGAAATTTTTTAATTGGGGGAAATATGTATGGAAATCATGTGTTCTAAGACCTCATCTTGTAACTTTACAGTGCACTCTCAGATTCTAAGATGTGGCTTTGATTACCAGTATTTTTGGGTACAATCCATAAACTTGAAATGTTTTCAGTTTATTTTCCCCTACTGAGAAAATTTGTTCCTTTTGCAGATAATGGATTTATACCTGATACCCTTCTAGAAGATGTAATGAAGGCGTTGGACCTTGTATCAGATCCTGAATAGTAAGTATAATTTGTGTAGCTAAATTTTCATTTAACAGATTAGTTATGGGTTGGTTTTATCTTGAATTGTTAGTATATCTAATTCTGTGTAGTGTCCTAAGGATAGTGTCTCAAAATATTGAGTCAGTTGTAAAAGAAAGAAAAAAGGCCTAAAGATAAGATTCAAAATCATTTTTGATTTAGAAAGAAGAGCGTCTTTCCTAGCTCCCAGTTACTAGCTTTGTGACTCGCGTTTCTGTAAGTGCATGTATTTGCCTATGACAACCCAATACTGCAAGGCGAATCTGTGTGCTGGAAAAAACAAGGTCTCTCAACAGCTGACCACCATGTTACAAGAAGATTTAATACCATCCTAGAGCTCAAAGTTCAAACTGCTTTTCAGATTTTGTGTTTCTGTATGGTTGCATTTTATATAGTTGTACTTTGTTTCCATCAATACCAGATATGTACAGTAACTCCTCACTTAGTCATCCCGGTTAACATTGTTTCGTTGCTGATCAGTTAGGGAACATGCTTGTTTAAAGTTGTGCAATGTTCCCTTATAATGTCGTTTGGCAGCTGCCTGCTTTGTCCACTGCTTTCAGGAAGAGCAGCCCGTTGCAGCTAGCTGGTGGGGGCTTGGAACCAGGATGGACCAGCAGCCTCCCTATCAGTTCCCTGCGAAGCAGCCACCCAGCAGGCTATCAGTTGCCTGCAGTTCACTGTCCCTCCCCTCAATGCCATGTGCTGCTCCTGCCGTCTGCCTTGGAGTTGCTCCCCGAGCCTCCTCCCTTGTGTGTGTGTGTGGTGTGTGTGTTGGGTGGGGAGGGGGGCTAATATCAGGGTGTCCCCCTCCCCCTAGCTACTGCACCCCGCTTACTCCATCTCCATAGAGAAGATGGGGGACATGACAGGGCTCAGGATGGAGGAAGCTTCCTGGCAGCAACTGTGGTCTCAGCTTGCTGATTAACTTAACAAGGCAGTATACTAAAGAGTGGGTCAGCATACTTAAAGGGGAAATGCACATCTCTTCCCCCCACACACACACACACACTCTGCCATGCTGTCTCCCCTCCCTCCATTCCTGCTGCTTTGTAGAGTGTGAGGCTAGATTAACAACGAGTTAATCTCTTGAGGCCTCATCCACTTGCTAGTTCATCATTTAGCGGTAAGGCATTCCCTGGGAAATATCCCACCCTCTGACTTCACCATCTCAACCAAGCTTCACGGTATTAAATTGTTTGTTTAAAACTTATACTCTGTGTGTTTATATTATATAAAAAAAATACACATCTTTTTTGTCTGGCAAAAAAAAATTCCCTGGAACCTAACAGCCCCTCCTCCCCCTACATTAATTCTTATGGGGAAATTGGATTCTCTTAACGTCGTTTCGCTTGAAGTCGCATTTTTCAGGAACATAACTACAACATTAAGTGAGGAGTTACTGTACAGGTTTTAATAGTAGCTATTCAGATAAAACTCTCTTCACTCGGTAATTTAATTCTCATTTGGACTGGCATTGCCGGTAGTGTTTCCCAAATGCTTGGTGGTACCAAATAACTTCTGCACCAAGGTCTGCTTATGTAGTCATATTTTGCTTCCTGAATACCCAATCCAGAGAGCAAATCTCAGTGTCTGAACTTGTTTTTCCACCTTCCAGGCTTTAACTTTGCTCATTTATAAGGCCAAATTCCATTTTATCCTAATCAAAAGAGTTGTGAACTCTTCCAAAACAAATTAGGGATGTTAGCTCTGTGTGAAACATATTTTCTCCCTCCAGAGGGGAACAGAATTTTGCAAGTTCTAGGGAAAGAGCCTGATTTGGGAAGCTTGGAAAGGCTTCTTTTGTTCTACTGCCTCTAACAAATTTGCTTTCCCAAAGAAAAGGGAAAAATCTTCCTTCCAAATCCAGCTTTCTTTCAGAATTGGCTGCTTGGGTTTTAAGATATTTGTGGCATAATCATGACCTCTTATTGCATATGGAACATCAGGTGTTGTATGGTCAAGAATCATTCACAAGAAAGGCATACCATATTGAAAAGACTCTTTTCTGCGGATAATGCTGTGGAATTTCTCCATATCCATAGTCTGCAATATTTTCTCTCTGTTGAAGAAGTAGTATAATAGAGTAGGTTCTGACTTATGTAGGTTCACCACATTTTTCAGCTGACATCTAAGTCTCTGTATTTCGGGTTTCCAGTCCATGAAATATGGAACAAACTTAAAGAACGTAAAGAGTATTTGGATTCTTAATTCCTTATATGTCGGTTGCAAATGTGGTGTTCTTCGAAGCAAATAACATCTAAATTATGTATAGTATACATGTAGTTTCCTATAAGCTGCTACCTCAGGCTGTGATCTCTTCAGATCTCAAAACCTAACCACCCTCAGACCTGCTCAGTATTTGGGAGGTGTGCAAGGAAAACCATTTGTGGTCAGATAGTTATGCTGGTGACTCAGTAGATGGAATTATTGTATTTCAATTCTGAACTAATTCCTGCAACATGGCATTGAGGGCACTATTGCTGAAGGTGTCATTTTTAATTAGAGATGAAATGAGATTCTCAAACTCATAGATATTAAGGTCAGAAGGGACCATTATGATCATCTAGTCTGACCTCCTGCACAATGCAGGCCGCAGAATCTCGCCCACCCACTCCTGCAATATACCGCTCACCTATGTCTGAGCTATTGAAGTCCTCAAATCATGGTTTAAAGACCTCAAGATGCAGAGAATCCTCCAGCAAGTGACCCGTGCCCCACGCTGCAGAGGAAGGCGAAAAACCCCCAGGGCCTCTTGCAATCGGCCCTGGAGGAATATTCCTTCCTGACCCCAAATATGGCGATCAGCTGAACCCTGAGCATGTAGGCAAGACTCACCAGCCAGATACCCGGGAAAGAATTTTCTGTAGTAACTCAGATCCCACCCCATCTAACATCCCATCACAGGCCATTGGGCCTATTTACCATGAATAGTTAAAGATCGGTTAATTGCCAAAATCATGTTATCCCATCAAACCATCTCCTCCATAAACTTAGAGTTTAATCTTGAAGCCAGATAGGTCTTTTGTCCCCACTGCTTCCCTTGGAAGGCTGTTCCAGAACTTCACTCCTCTGATGGTTAGAAACCTTCGTCTAATTTCAAGTCTAAACTTCCCGATGGCCAGTTTATATCCATTTGTTCTTGTGTCCACATTGGTACTGAGCTTAAATAATTCCTCTCCCTCTCCGGTATTTATCCCTCTGATATATTTATCGAGAACAATCATATCTCTCCTCAGCCTTCTTTTGGTTAGGCTAAACAAGCCAAGCTCCTTGAGTCTCCTTTCATAAGACTGGTTTTCCATTCCTCGGATCATCCTAGTAGCCCTTTTCCGTACCTGTTCCAGTTTGAATTCATCCTTCTTAAACATGGAAGACCAGAACTGCACACAGTATTCCCGGTGAGGTCTCACCAGTGCCTTGTATAACGGTAATAACACTTCCTTATCTCTACTGGAAATGCCTCGCCTGATGCATCCCAAGATCGCATTAGCTTTTTTCACAGCCATATCACATTAGCGGCTCATAGTCATCCTGTGGTCAACCAATACTCCAAGGTCCTTCCCCTCCTCCGTTATTTCTAATTGATGCATCCCCATCTTATAACTAAAATTCTTGTTGTTAATCCCTAAATGCATGACGTTACACTTCTCACTATTAAATTCCATCCTATTACTATTACTCCAGTTTACAAGGTCATCCAGATCCTCCTGTATGATATCCCAGTCCTTCTCTAAATTGGCAGTATCTCCCAGCTTTGTATCATCCGTAAACTTTATTGGCGCACACCCACTTTTTGTGCTGAGGTCAGCAATAAAAAGATTAAATAAGATTGGTCCCAAAACCGATCCCTGAGGAACTCCACTGGTAACCTCTCTCCAGTCTGACAGTGCACCTTTCAGTATGACCAGCTGTAGTCTCCCTTTTAACCAATTCCTTATGCACCTTTCAATTTTCATATTGATCCCCATCTTTTCAAATTTAACTAATTCCCCTAATTTGCTAATTTGTGATTACTAAAGATCCTATGATACTCTTTAGAAGATCAGTGTTGTTTAGCCCTGTTTAGAATTTGATGGTTACATTTTACCTAACTTCCATCTATATTTTCAGTTAGTTAACGTTTACTTTCTACATAAGAACAGCCATACTGGAGTCAGACCAGTGGTCCATGTAGCCCAGTATCCTGTCTTCTGACAGTGGCCAATGCCAGATGCTTCAAAAGGAATTAACAGAACAGGGCAATTATCAAGTGATCCATTCCCTATCATCGAGTCCTAGCATCTAGCAGTCAGAGGCTTAGGGACACCCAGCGCATGGGGTCACATCCCTTACCATTTTAGCTAATTCTTTTTTTAATCCAGTTAGTTTTGTTCTTCACAACGTCCCCTAGTAATGAGTTCCGCGGGTTGACTGCATTATGTGAAGAAGTACTTTTCTTTTGTTTGTTGCAAACTTGCTGCCTATTGATTTCATTGGGTGACTCCTAGATCTTGTTAGGTGAAGGGGTAAATAACACATTCACATTGTCCATATCATTCATGATTTTATAGACCTCAATAATATCCCCCTGTAGTAGTCTCTTTTCCAAGCTGAATAGTCCCAGTCTTTTTAATCTCTCCTCATATGGAAGCTGTTCCATACCCCTAAATATTTTTGTTGCCCTTCTCTATACCTTTTTTCATTTCTAAAATCTCTTTTGAAATGGGGTGACCAGACCTGCCCTCAGTATTTGACGTGTGGGCACACCATGGATTTATATAGTGGTATTATGATACTTATATTTTACTATATATCCCGTTCCTAACATTCTAATAGCTTATTTGACTTCTTCGCATATTGAGTGGATGTTTTCAGAGAACTATCCACAATGACTCCAAGATCTTTCTTGAGTGATAACAGCTAATTTAGATCTCAATATTTTGTTTGTACAGTTGGGATTATGTTTTCCAATGTGTATTATTTTGCATTTATCAACACTGAATTTCATCTGCCATTTTTTTCTTGCCCAGTCACCCAGTTTTGTGGGATCCCTCTAACTCTTTACAGTCAGCTTTGGACTTAATTATCTTGAGTAATTTTGTATTATTTGCAAACTTTGCCACCTCACTGTTTACCTCTTTTTGCAGATCATTTATGAATATGTTGAACAGCACAGCTCCCAGTACTGATCCTTTGGAGATGCTATTTACCTCTCTCTGTTCTGAAAACGGATCATTTATTCCTATACTTTGTTTCCTATCTTTTAACCAGTTAATGATCCATTAAAGGACTATCTTTTATCTCATGACTGCTTAAAACCAGGCTTCAAACTTAGTGTGGCTGAGAGGTTTTTAAACAGTTGCTGTATTATTTTCTAGAGATGTATTTCATTGAGTAAAGGGGTTTCTCTATATTCATTAAGTTAATTGCAGAGCATTTGAAAAGTGGTATACACTTGTGGGCTTATCTACAAAGTGGAATAATGCATCTTACAGGGGTGTGATTTCTAATGCGCACTAATGTGTTGCATGTTGACAAGTCCATGTAACCTGCTGCACTTTAACATAGCTCTGTCTGAAACAGTACTATGTTAAAGTGATCTGTGGAAACTGTAGTGTGCACCAGCAGGCTCTACATGGGCCAATTTAATGCACAATATGTTAGTGCACGTTAGAAATCGCACCCTCACACTGCACATTGCTGCTCCCTGTAAACAAGCCCTAAATATGCCTTATGTGCATTCTGTCCACTAATCCGTCATGCCTAGAACCTGTTCTAATGTTCCAAAACTGAGCAGTTTTCAGACTGCTTTAAAAAAATTAAAATGTCTAACACACCAAAGATGTGGCTTACTAGCAGAATGGTAAATATTCTGTCATGGACCAGTGACAGGTTTAAAATTAATGTTAAAATTCTGCTTGATTTACAGGAGAGCTAGTTTAGATACGGTGTGAATTCTAAAATTTCTCATTCAGAAGCCTATCCTGATAAGCTTTTAGAACTAGACTGAGAGCTAGGAAAAATATGAATACTTTTTAAAGCTCTGCTAAACAGTCTGTAAAATATATTGCATAAATAGAAATGTAAATGTTTTATTGACACTCATTTACAACAGCTGGCAAAAATCCCACACTGCTGCCAATAAAGCTTTTATACTACTCAGTATACATACAAAAACAGAAAGAATGAGAGTATACACTATCAAAATAAATGTTAAGTGGTTTGGGCTACTTTAATATGAAAGGCATTTTGTAAATATACAATGATAAACATGGGACCTTATTTCAATGAAATTTATTCTTATCAAACTTAATTTTAAAAACCTCTGAAATGTATTCATTGGTGGCTTTTCAAATCTCCACTTAAAAGCAGGTTGTTTGGTCAGAACTCTTCAAAGAATGACTGGCTTGTGTGCTTAAGATGAAGAATGCTTGCAGCATACAGCAAAATGTCTTCTGAGTTAAAGTGTAGGTTTTAGTTTGCATGACTTTCAACTGACTTTACCTAATAAGGCAATCTTTCAAAATTATAACTACTTCCATTTTAAATAACAGATTACTTTGGTTTAAAAATAACTGCATTTTCTCAAATCTGGTGCCGTTCTGGTGCATTTGTCATTTTAAGAGTCTAAATAAAAAAAACCTCAATATATTTGGCAGTCAGAAGTGTTGTAGTACCCCATAACATAGTCATGCAAGAATAAAAACGTGCAACTCATATTTTTGTATCCAATGTTCTTGTTTTAGTGTAAATCTCATGAAGACCAAATTAGACCCAGAAGGACTAGGAATCATATTACTGGGTCCCTTTCTGCAAGAATTCTTCCCTGAGCAGGTAACGTAGATGTTTTTTTTTTTTCTCCTTCTTATGCCATAGAACATTTTGTATTTCACTAAATAGGATTCTTCAGTGATGCATTAAACATTCATACCTCGAATGTGCATTTTTGCAAAATTATTTAGTCTAATAAATGTTACATTTCTTTGATTACTTCGGGTCAGCTGGTAACTCTTAGCACTGTTCAGTTAAGTATAACTGTCCTATGTGATTTAGCATTCCAAAATGTTTAAATGAAAAGCTATTCTAATTTGTAGCCTTCGCACCAAAAAGCAATCTCCACTGAAGCTGCCAAGTGTCAGATAAGTAGAGCCCTGTACGGATGCATCCAATCTATATCCACAAAAATTATCTGTGGATATCCGCAGTTATCCGTGGATTTGCAGGGCTCTACACTGGGGACCAGGCTGAGACTCCAAGACATATTCTCTCTCACTATATAACTTGAAGCTATAGTTAGTAAACAAAATAGCCTTATTAATTTCAGCCATGTTTGAAATACAGGAAAATCAGCATTTGTCAAAGTTATGAAACTTTATTTTAAAGATTCTGAGTGTTACTAAGGAAAAGTGAAACAGCCACAACTATTTTAAAAGTATACTTGGCAATACACCTTTTAAAGATGTAATATTGATGAGAAAAATGTACTGTAGTAAAACGATACTGCAAAGTGTAACACTAAGGTATGTCTACACTACGAAATTAGGTTGATTTTATAGAATTCGGTTTTATACAGTAAATTGCGTATGTCAACACTAAGCGCATTCAGATGGCGGACTGCGTCCTCACTACTGTGGCTAGCATAGACTTACAGAGCGGTGCACTGTGGGTTGCTATCCCACAGTTCCCGCAGTCTCCGCTGCCCATTGGAATATTGAGTTAAGCTCCCAATGCCTGATGGGGCAGAAACTTTGTCACGGGTGGTTTTGGGTACATATCGTCGGGCCCACCTCCCTCCGTGAAAGCAACGGCAGACAATCGTTTCGTGCCTTTTTTCCAGGGTCCTGTCCACCGGCCCCACTCAGCCCGCTGCCTGTCTGGGTGATCGGAACCCCAGGCAGGCCATGGGCTGAGCGGGGTTGGGGGACGGAGCCCCAGACCGGCAGTGCTGCCAGTCTGGGGCTCCAGCCGCTGGCTCCTGCCAGCCGGAGTCCTGGCCGCTGGCCCTGCTCAGCCCGCTGCCAGGCTTGCCATACCACGGCAAGCATGGAGCCCGCTCAGCTCACCATTACCGTACATCTCCTGGGTGCTGCTGGCAGACGCGGTACTGCATTGCTAAACAGCAGCAGCCCTTGCCTTCGCAGCAGATGGTACAGTAGGATTGATAGCCGTCATACATCTCCTGGGTGCTCCTGGTAGTCCTCGGTGAGGTCGATTGGGGCGCCTGGACAGACATGGCTATCCTCCTCTTAGAGCACCGAATGAGAGTGACTCCAGGTCATTCTCTTCTTTAAGTTTTGTCTCATGGAGATTCAGTCCTGCCTGGAATATCATGTGAGCTGGAGGCTTCTGCCTCAGGCTGCTCTCCCAGCGGGCAGCACTGCATGGTCGCATCTACCCCAGCCTGCCCCTTGCTCCCATGGCTCATGGAGCCTGGACAGTAGTAAGGAGCAGTTCAACTTGTGGAATGACAAATCCAGAACGAGGATTGTACTCTATGGGCCACGTTACGATTATTTCAGAGTCCTAGATAGCATTTAGTCCTTACAGAAGGCTTCATGAAAATTTTCCCCTGCCCCTAACAAAAATGTTAATTTATCAGAGCAGCTGAAAGGGTAAGGAACCCGGGACTATAACTTAGAGAGAGCTTCCATATTATTTAACTTATAATTGATATAATTCAAAGTAACATTTCACAGCGCGGTCTGTTCTAAGACTAAAAATGCAGGAGGGGAGTCAGAAAAAGGAACAGGGACCTGTTTCGGCCCAGGTTCGAACCAGGGACTTTTCGTACGTTAGGTAAACATGATAACCACTACATTACGGAAACCCAACTTGAACGTATCCCTCGCGTGGGCCCTATTATACTTTATGTAACGTGTGGTTGTGTATTATTAGTTTGGTATGTCAGGGGGCTTCTCTTTTTTTGCCACAAACTTTGCCAAATGCACAGGAATGTTTTCTCTAGTTACAGAAGCTACCTGATACAATGTCTATATCTATGGCCTTCCTGCTCACAAAGCAGTCATGCCCCCGCCCAAGGCTGACACATGTGCATGTGACACAGCAACCTGGCTCGAGCAGGAACTCTAGCAAGGCATGATACTTTGCTGTTAAGCGAACACAGCAATTCTTTCCTGTCCTTTGCCACTGAATGCCTCCATGCATTAAGCTGTGCCCTATCAGTGTGGGAGGACTGCATGAGCTCGGAAAACATGTAATCGCGAGTGCGGGTTTTTTGCCTTCTAATCTGTGATAACCTTAGGGATGGAGATGATAGGGAGAGCGTAGAAACATTCTGGGGGGACTGCATGGTCACCTATGCTGCTGAGTTCGCCACACTGGCCAAACAGGAAATGAAATTCAAAAGTTCCCGGGGCTTTTCCTGTGTACCTGGCTAGTGCATCTGAGTTCAGAGTGCTGTCCGGAGCAGTCACAATGGAGCACTCCGGGATAGCTCCCAGAAGCCAATACCGTCAGATTACGTCCACACTACCCCAAATTCGACCCAGCGATGTCCATTTCAGCACTAATCCCCTCATTGGGGAGGAGTACAGAAATCAATTTTAAGAGCCCTTTAAATCGACAAAAATGGCTTCTTCGTGTGGATGGGTGCAGGGTTAAATCAATCTAATGCTGCTAAATTCGACCTAAACTCATAGTGTAGACCAGGGCTAACACTACGGTGATTCTAAAATGTAGGCTGCAGCGTTCATTTTCTTAAGATTGAAAGTTTCCACAGCTGTGGAACCACTAGTCAGTCTTCTGAATTAAATTTTATATCATACGAAAACTGATATGTTGCAATTATTGACAAGTCTGGAAGCAATACACCACTGACAAATTGGAATTAGTTATTTTATTACATTTAAATACCACTCTTTTTAACTCCAGACATGATTCTTCTGCACTTTTTGGTAAGTGAAGAAGGAATTCTTTTTTGGAAAGTATTTATTAAATCTTTTATTGAGTACTTAAGCATTCTAACTGTATCAGACTTAACAGTTTTAAGTGGCTAGTATGTTTGGGTGTTGAACATGAGACACTTCGGAGGCCCAATTCTCAGAGTGTATATGCTCAACTCTTTAAAAAATAATAATAATTAATAATTCCACTTCCAGATATCCAGTTGGGCACTGAATCATTAGTCTCTTGAACATTTTGGGTTGCCTAATCTATTAACAGGTAGTGGAACTGATTGACTGGGTGTTGTATTTTTCTCCTATGAGGAGCCTGGAAAATCTTCAGTATCTTGTATCTTAACTCACTTCCTCCCCAACCTGCTTACCCCTTTTTCATCAAGCAAAGTAATTGTAAAGAGAAAAAGGGTGCATGTTAAACTGGTTTTATGATATAAAATGAACTGTCTTGTTTATACTAGGACTCCAGGGTTCCAGAGTCATTCACTGTATATCACTACAATGGATTGAAGCAGTCCAATTATAATGAAAAGGTATGGTGATCTGAGAGAAAATGAATTGAGACCTGCTTAGGAGAAACCAGTAATCATGACCATGTGATAGCAGTTCACTGTCTTATGTGAAATGAGTTTGTCAGTGCCATTCCTTGTGTCCATATTGCAGAACTGCCACCACATTTGACACTAAACAGCTAGCCAAGTAAAAAATTTGATAGAAACTTGTTTTGCACAAATTTTCTGCTTTCCACAGAAAATTGATTCTCTCCCCCCCGCCCCCCCTTCCCAAAACCAGAAGTATTTCAATTTGGAAATGCTACCTCATACTCCAGTTCTCTTCTATATACCATGCTCTCTGGTCAAACCATATTTACTGTGATACACCAGTCACTCTTTTGCAGAGAGGAGACAATGCATCATGGGAGATGTAGTTGGACCCAGAGAGGAGAATGGGGTTATGAGACAGATGAACTTAAACTCCCATAAGGGACCACAGCAGCATTCAAAATCAAAATTTCTGGTCTTGGCCCAAAAAAATTGATATTCAAATTTCTGTCAAATCAAAGATTATTCTTCAAAGGAAAAAACATTTTTCAACCAGTTCTAATTAGCACCTTTTGCTACCAGTCTGAGTAGAGATCACAAGGAATGAATAAACAGAGACAACTACCAGTGAGGAGGTCCTTCCAGAAAATGCATTTTGATTCAATCACCATTTAATGCTGGTTGAAATCAGAATAATTTGGGATTATAAAGTCTTTAGAATTAATTGCTATGGAACTTCCAACAGTCTCATATTCCAAATGTAGGCAAAGGTACTCAGATTATTATGATTGCCTAGCAGGTTGGATTGATTTAAATCTGATTTTAATCATAGGTTGATTATTATAGGTTGTTACATTTGTTCAGATTGTTAATTGTAACATTTTTATTATGCTTCAAAATGGTGAACGAGGCAGTTCTAATTTACTAATTGACAAGCTTTTGCTTTTTTTCAAGTTTCAATTTCAAATGGAAATTCAATTTAAAATGCACAAATATAGTATTTTAATTTTTTTATTAAATTATTTTAAATGTGCTGCTTACATACAAGAGAAGTTACCAACCTTTATTAAAACTAATTTATTAAACAAAGGAAGCATTTTCTGTAGTTAGTGAATTGACTGATTATTTCTGGTTACCATGTCCTTCAAAATTTTAGAACTAGTAGATCTCATTCTTTCACATTTTGTTTTCCTTTCCAATCTATGAATAATAACTATCTTTCCTGCTTTTTCAATACATAATTGGCTTCTTAAGTTTGAATTAGGTCATTGAACTGAATTTATTGAATGAACTGAATTGAATAAACTGAAGTGAAGAAAACATTCTTTCTGCACCTTGCAAAAGAGACTAGTGCTGTCAAAAGCTGATTTTGCATTTCCAGCGGACTCTGGTGTCAGGTGTTTGAACTGGTGGCAGTCACTGGCTAATGGTTTGACTTTCTTTAAAAATTGTCAGCAATCGTGTACTGCTTAGTATTATATTACAGTATTTAATTTTAATGGATTATAATAAGTTTGAGCCTTAACATAGGATGACAATTTCAAATTTAATTGTAAATTTTTAACAAACTGATATTTTTATTGAAATGAAAAGTATTTGATTTTTTTAATCTATTTTTATCCACTCTGTTGCCTGGTTATTTTGTATACATATACATGTTTTTTAAAGTTTAACCTTACCCACCATATATTTGTAACAATGATCTTCTAGAGAATTCTGGCTATTATCTTTAAACAATATTGCTGAATTAAACTGACTACAACAAGGGCTTCATAGTATGAATCTAATTAACTCTAGTTGCCTTGAACCCAGGGAATAGGGGACTAGCTGATATTTTGAAAATAAGAGTACATTTAACTTTGGGACAGGTAAGGCTGTAGCAGTAGAAGTTATTTTCCTATACCTTTTGTCTACTTACTTTAAGACCAAAATATTCAAACATGTTTTGCTAAAGTTGGGCATCTAAAGAAGTGACCTGTCTTTCAGAGGTGCTGAGCACCTGCAGCTCAAATTCAGTGCAAGGTGTGGGTGCTGGTCACCTCTGAAAATCAGGCCACTTAGTTGGATGGTTAAATTTTATTCTGTGTGTGCTTATTCATGAAAGCATGAAATACGAAATATAAGATTTTGTTCATCCTCATTGTTAACCCTTATTTTCTTGTGCACATTTGTATTGGTTGTCAATTTCTTTTCATTTGTTCTGTCTACTGACACGTGTTATGTTAATTCACTCCTCCCTCTTTTCTGTTGCATTTGAATGAAAAATATCAGATTGTTTATAGTAACATGTACCAATATGAGCAAATTTCAGTGCTCTAACTTCATAGTTTCAGAGTAGCAGCCGTGTTAGTCTGTATTCGCAGAAAGAAAAGGAGTACTAGTGGCACCTTAGACTAACCAATTTCTTTGAGCATAAGCTTTCGTGAGCTACAGCTCACTTCATCGGATGCATTCAATGGAAAGTACAGTGAGGAGATTGGTTAGTCTCTAAGGTACCAGTAGTACTCCTTTTCTTTTTGCATAACTTCATAGTGTTTCCATATATAGAGACGCAGACTTTGGTGCTTCAAAACTATGCTATTACTCACCTGAAAATTTGGTCAAAACATGATTTCTGACTTCCTTGTAAGACTCGTGCTCTACTATGAGGAAAGATTTGTACATGTTTTGCCTGTTGTGCTTTTTCATCTTATCTAAAGCAAATTGAGTTTGTTCAATGAATGGCCTATTGCCTCAGACTTTTTGCATCATTTAAGTTTTCAATTTTATTTTTTTTCTGCTTTGGCCTTTGTCAGTATATGAACAGCATGACTAATCTGTGACCTGAATAGAAGTTTCAGGCATCAACACCTACTAGTTAGATACTCTGGATCTCATATTTCAATAAATGTGAACCACTTGTGTAAAACTTTAATTTGATTTGAGTTTTTCCTTTTGTTATGAAAAGCATGCTTTGTGACAAGTGGCTTCCTACACTGTGAAAACAACATTCTATGTCTATCTTTAAAGGTATCTCAGGAAATATACTGAAGTAGATCGTTTTATTTTGACAGGTCATGTATGTAGAAGGCACAGCAGTTATTATGGGCTTTGAAGATCCAATGCTACAGACTGATGATACTCCAGTAAAGCGCTGTTTGCAAACCAAATGGCCATATATAGAATTACTCTGGACCACGGATCGATCTCCTTCATTAAATTGATGTGTTTAGAAGAAATACTATATTACTGTCTAATGCTTTACTGGGGGATTAAGAATTGGCATTTGCTGAAAGCAGTATACTTAACTGTATGAAACTGTACACTGCTATCATTGATAAATTGTAAATAATGATTACAAACACTTTTCAGTGTTAATTGAAATATTTACTTTTTTTAATCAGATTGATTTCTCTTTACAATAGTTTGTCATTTTTTTGGCCATTGTGGTAGTATTGTGAGTTCTGTTCTTTTAAAAAAGGCCTACTTATACCATCTGAATTTGCCATCTCAAAGATTTGAAAAATGTCTAAAACTGCAGTATCTGCAAGTTAGGTATCAAATTAATCTTTCAACAGTAAAGTCATTCTCTGTTTGCTTCCTCTTGAATCTTTTGGGCACGTTTTATTATTTAAATTATACTGGCTTATGTTACAGTATCAATTTGTGGTCTGGACTGGCCTTGCACTGAATGTTTAAATGAGCTTAAACTCTCTGCAGTTTTTTTTTAAATTTGGCTCTAACTAAACAACTTTTACAAAAATGGTAAAATTGGGAATAATTTCTAGGCTCCTACTAAATATAAATCATAAAAGCCGTTTCTAGGCAGTTGTATATTGCTATGGCTTAGCTATCTGGCATGTTAAAAGTGAAGACAGTATGAGGAAAAATAAGTGTGTTAATATTTATTCAAAGTTGTATAAAGGAAATGTAAAAAATCAACAGCAGGAAGAATTTGTTCTATAATCTTTAAATTGTTCAGATATATAGTATTGCCAAATACCTCTTCTCAGTTTGTCCAAACAATGTAAGCCAGCTTTATTGTATGTGTTAAGTGCATGAGAACATCTGTTATTACATGAGTATATGCCTTTATTTATTATCTAGTTGTTAGCCCTAAATAAAAACTTTTCCCTGAACTATGACCTAGCACTTTCAAGTTTATTTTTTCAATCTGACCTGTTTACTTCCTCTTCAATTTCTTTGTATTGAAAAAATAACTGGAGAGTAGAGGAGCTAAAAATGGACAACTTTTGAAGTAGAGTGATCTCTTGTGGATATAAACACAAGTTAAAGAAACTAAAGGATCACTTTAGTGCAGTTGACCCACTTAAACTTTCTGTTCACAGACCATAAATGCATAGCGTATATTAATATCAAGAGGGCTGAGAATTCATGTTTAGAAATTTATTTTCTCCACAATGTTTAGGTGGGGATACTTTCTTTTTATGTATAAATAACAGCATGAGTTAGCTTGTTTCCCCATTAAGCAGATTTGTGCTGTTTGAATTGTCAAACCAAAGAATCTAACAAAACACCTGTATATTGGAGTATTTTCAGTGTAAGTTATGTAGTAATGGCAGAGAGAAATAACAAGCTTGCCTGCATGGCATTTTCAGTTATATCCTCTGTATAAGCATAGAACCAGCTACTAGATTTACATCTGGAAAATGTCAGCAGTGAAGTGCTACTCCTGGCTACATCCACATATTCATTCCAAATACTTAACTCTGTAATTAACACTGCTCCCGAGTGCAATATTGACAGCACTGAGAGTATCTCAGTTTCAAAAACCAAGAAAATAATGCAGAATTATATTTTCCTGAAAAATTATCTTCTCATGGTCAGTAACAATTTGAGAACTTTTTAAAAAATAGCCTTTCATGTATCTGGAACCAAGTTTAAAATGTCCATTTATCTGATTCAAATTGGAACATCAATATTTTTCACATGTGAACCTGATCACATAAATGGGAATAGCTGTAGTGCATACCCTCTCTATCGATGGAACTGTCTTGTAACCAGCTTAAGTGGTCTGGCACATCCCAGCTTTCTGTGCCCCTACCCTGAACCGGGCAGAGTGCCACTACTTCATGCCATCTAAGGGTATGGACTCCTTGTTTACCCACCCACCCCCCAATTCGCTCGTGGTTCACATGGTGACTGACCAAGCCTGCCAGCAACATCCCAAGGCCACCCCTCCTGATCAGGTGATGAAGAAATTTGACCTTCTGGGGTACAAGGTCTGCTCTTTTTCAGGCCTTCAGTTATTCATTGGCAACTACCAGACCATCCTGGTGAAGTACGACTTCCTCTCTTACTCCAAGTTGGTGGAGTTCCAGGCCTTTCTCCCACCAGAGCAACAGCAGGCTTTTCAGGCCCTGCTGGATGAGGGCAAGCTAGTTGCCAAAGTGGCCCTCCAAGCCACGGTTGACACTGCGTCATGCTCTCTGGCGCACAGGATGGTGCTCTGCCGGGATTCCTGGCTTCAACCCTTCAGCTTTCCCAAGGAGATCCAGACTGCCCTAGAGGGCCTCCCCTTTGACAGCCACAAACTTCAGTGATTAAATGGACAAGTTCTCCACTCTCTTAAGGACTCCTGTGCCACCCTCTGGTCACTCTGAATCTACACCCTTGCCCCAACTTGCAGGCAGCAGTGCTTGTCCTCCTGACCATGCCCTTGCACTGCCTACCAGCCCTACCCTCAACACGGCAAGATCCATCTCGCCAATGCCCATGCACTACTCTGCCACTACCACCTGAATCACCTCAATGTCCATCCAAGTAATCCTTTTGTTTCTTCCCCCAAGATCCAAGAAACTCACTCCACCCCTTCTGCAGCACCTCAGATTGTTTTGGGGGGCTGTCTTGCCCTGTTTGCCCACATTTGGAGCAAGATCACCACTGGGTGCTGGATATTGTTCACCAGTTGAGTTCCTCTCCTTGTCGCCCACCCCATGAGGACCCTGGGGATCCTTCCCGATGCAGTCTTGGAGAGGAAGCAGACACCCTCCTCTGGAAGGGTGCCATAAAATGCGTCCTGCACTGCCATGGCTTCTTCTCCCCTTATTTCCTTGTTCCAAAGAAAAGGGGTGGCCACCGTCCCATTCTGGATGTCTGGTCGCTGAACAGATGCATACGCAAGTTCCACTTCTGGATGGTCTTGCTCCCCCTCATTATCCTGGCCCTCCCCCATGGAAGCTGGTTCGCAGCTCTTGATATGAAGGATCTATATTTTCATATAGACGTCCACCCCACTCATCACAAGTTCCTCTGCTTCACCGTGGGACACTCCCACTACCAGTTCTGGGTCCTCCCCTTTAGGGCAGCCACTGCTCCCTGCATCTTCATGGGTGTAGCGGAGTACATGAGCTATCTAGACCACTAGCTATTCCCCTATCTAGATGACTGACTCCTCGTTGCAACATCTCTCAACTGCCTCTTCACCATTATCCAGACCTACCTGCAATCTCACCTTCATGGGGCACACATGGACTCTCTTGCAGCCCGAGCCTTTCTCCTATCAGATCGATTCACCATGCTCATTGCACAACTACACCACCTTCTGCATACACACATCCAGCAGTGCCTCTTCCTCCTTGGCCACATAGCAGCCTGCACCTCGGGCACGCTGTATGCCCACCTGCATTTGCTCTGCCTCCACCTGTCTCTAGTGGGTCTACAACCCACAGTTGGAGCACCTGGACAAGCCAGCCCTAATCCCCATCTCCATCTTGGCTTCCCTCCTCTGCTGGTGGAACCCATCCATGATCCTGGCCAGCATTCCACTCACTCCCCCCTTGTTCCACACCACTCACCATGGACACCTCACTTGTGGGGTGGGGCACTCACTTGGAGGGCCACACAGCCCAGGGCCTCTGGTTGCCCAGGGAAGCACAGATGCATATCAACATCCTGGAACTGCAGGCCACCCACCTTGCTTGCCAGACACTCCTGCCCCCATCAGATCCCACCACATTCAGTTGCTCTCTGACAACTTGACAGCAGTTGTATATGTCAACAAGTGGTCCCCCTCCCTCTGCATGGAAGCCATCCTCTGGAACTGGTGCCTCAGGCACGAGGTCACTCTCTATGCTGTGCACCTCCCAGGCACCAGCAACTCTCTGGCAGACATATTCAGCAGGTCCTTTTATGCAAATCCTGAGTGGAAGCTCCAGGACCTCACACTTCACTCAGTGTTTTGCCAGTGGGGCACTGTGGCAATCTGTACCTTAAGCAGCACTCTGGAACCCCCATATTCACCCCTGTCATAAGATATATTTCATACAAAGCATACCATGTAAGGAATCACATGAAAGGTCATGATCTGCTGAAACCCATTGTTCTGTCCAGATAGGTGTACCGTTAGTGTGTATGAAGTTATGAGATTTTTTTCTGTATGGTTGTTACAACTTTATTTCAGTAAGTTTGAGAGTCTACTGCTAGTTCCCCAGTGACAACAAGAGTGGTGATTCACTCCCAGGAGGGTGTTCAGTGACCATTAATCAGCAAGGGAGTTGTAAACAAGGGATTTACAGTTCTGCGATAGGAGCACCACACAATGGGGGATTGCTCAACTCTGACTCAGCAGAGCCCACCAGGACATGTTTGGGTAAGTTTCTTTCCAGGGACTGCGGATATAAAACAGGACAGTGGCATCATGCTTTTACCTTTCTCCTCCCCCACCATCTCTGAAAGAAACAAGAATGCTGGGAAGACAACAACTTGAACTGAGGAGACTGGTCCCAGGCTTAAAGGGGAAGTCTGTGGATTAAGAACTGTAACCTACCTGCAACATCAAGTGGGGTGAGAAAAACTGTTTGGTCCAAAGACTTCCTAGTCTAATAAGGTTTAAGATTTAAACTGTGTGCTTGCTTTTATTTTTTGGTAACTATCTGACCTTTTGTGCATACCACTTAAAATCTATCTTTTTCTATAGTTAATCTGTTTTTATATTTTACCTAAAACAATGTGTTTTGCTTGGGAAATCTCAGCTCAGTTTACAGCTCAGTTTAGTGTGTCCCCTCTCCACATCAAGCGGGAGTGGACTAGGTAATAAACTTACACTGGTCACGCTTCTGACCAGGCCAAGACAGTACTGTTCTGGGGTGCAAGACTGGGGGCTTGGGAGATTTGCTGGTGCCTTTCTCTGTGTGATTCATGAGTGGCTATGGGAGCATTCACACAATTTAACTGGGTGTGGAGTTCCCTATGCTATTATATTGAGTGATAACAGAGCCTAGTGGGGTTTTGTCAAGGTTCCTCCCGCACTCTGAACTCTAGGGTACAGATGTGGGGACCTGCATGAAAAACCTCCTAAGAAGCTTATCTTTACCAGCTTAGGTCAAAACTTCCCCAAGGTACAAAATATTCCACCCGTTGTCCTTGGACTGGCCGCTACCACCACCAAACTAATACTGGTTACTGGGGAAGAGCTGTTTGGACGCGTCCTTCCCCCCAAAATACTTCCCAAAACCTTGCACCCCACTTCCTGGACAAGGTTTGGTAAAAAGCCTCACCAATTTGCCTAGGTGACCACAGACCCAGACCCTTGGATCTTAAGAACAATGAACAATCCTCCCAACACTTGCACCCCCCCCTTTCCTGGGAAATGTTGGATAAAAAGCCTCACCAATTTGCATAGGTGACCACAGACCCAAACCCTTGGATCTGAGAACAATGAAAAAGCATTCAGTTTCTTACAAGAAGACTTCTAATAAAAATAGAAGTAAATAGAAATAAAGAAATCCCCCCTGTAAAATCAGGATGGTAGATATCTTACAGGGTAATTAGATTCAAAAACATAGAGAACCCCTCTAGGCAAAACCTTAAGTTACAAAAAAGATACACAGACAGAAATAGTTATTCTATTCAGCACAATTCTTTTCTCAGCCATTTAAAGAAATCATAATCTAACACATACCTAGCTAGATTACTTACTAAAAGTTCTAAGACTCCATTCCTGGTCTATCCCCGACAAAGACAGACTATAGACAGACCCTTTGTTTCTCTCCCTCCTCCCAGCTTTTGAAAGTATCTTGTCTCCTCATTGGTCATTTGGTCAGGTGCCAGCGAGGTTACCTTTAGCTTCTTAACCCTTTACAGGTGAGAGGAGCTTTCCCCTGGCCAGGAGGGATTTCAAAGG